GTCGGCCAGGATCATGCCGCAGAGCGGCGCGGGCGCCAGCCCCGCCAGCTCCAGCACCCGCAACCCCTGCAGCGCCATGGCCGCGATGGCCCGCCCCGGCCCCGGGCTCACGTGGGCTCAGCCCCGCCCCGCCCGCCAGTCGCACCTCCGCACTGGCCTACGCACTTAAGCCGGGAAACTTGCCGACAGCGCGCCCCCGCCCAACTCACAGCACCAAACGTCCTCGCTTCTCATCCGTGTCCTGGCCCCGGGGCGCGCTGCCCTCGTGTGGGCTCCGACCCGAGCCAGCCTGGTCCGCGCTTGCCTGGCAGGGGACAGCCGTGACCTGGCCGCGCTGGGCAGGGGACGGGCCCTGCCCCTCCCGCTCCCGCTGAGCTGCTCGAGTGCGAAGGTCTTGGCTTTACGCCCGCCTTGTGGAAATGGGAGACTGCTCCCTGGCTCGCCCCTGCGGCCTTACGGCTGAGGGAGGGCTAGCAAAGGGGGCAAGCTGGGGTGGGACAACATCGTCTGACTGCAGTGCTTTTTCCTGCCCAGGGCAGGGGGTCAGACGCGATGACCTGCTGAGGTCCCCGCCGCCCCTAACGTCTATGAACATACGAAAACTGGGGGACATCCGAACCCCAAGCCTCTGGGCCTGCACATAGGATGCCCGCCAAAGGTTTTGGAAACACCTGAAGCCCCAGCTGGGGTGGAGGATGTTTGCCAGTAGTAAGGCCAGTTATGGTTCTTGCCTGTCATGGATTTGGAATTTGTTTGAGCTAATTTGGCTGGGAATACAGAAAATTAAAAAAAACAACAAAAAAACAACTCACCTGGAAGAGGTAACACCGTGATCAGTAAGGCGGTTTTCCTTGTCGCTGGGGATAACCACTTTTCTGGCACAGGGCATTACCCACAGAGGTAATGTATAGTTAACTTCCCGCATTCATTTCCAGTGGGAAGATCTTGGCTTTACACCTACTTTATGGAAATGGGAGACTGCTCCCTAGCCTGCTCCTGCAGCCACACAGCTGAGGGCGAGCAAAACTCGGGGGCATCCGAACCCTGATCTCCGGGCTCGGGCCTGCACATAGGATGCCTGCCAGAGGATTTGGAAGCATTTGAAGCCCCATGTGGGGGTGGAAGATGTTTGCTGGTAACTGGGGGCACTTACGGTTCTTGACTGTCTCAGGGATTTGAACTTGATTTGGACGACTTGACTTGGAACACAAAAAATCTTCCTTAAAAAAACAAAACAAAAAAAGCACATTGCATTTAGGTGTAAAGTGGCCTTAGATGGCCAGGGCACTTTAACCTGCTTTAAGTTATGTGCATTGTCTTTATTACTTCACTTGATTCACCTTAACTTTCCTGAAGGTCCCTGCATGGGAAGGATGCCCACTTCCACACGTGCGCTCTGTTGCATCTACCTGCTCTGCAGCTGCCGAGCAAACCTGTTTTATTTGACTGGTATCCCTACACCACTAGGGGCCGATATGCTGAAGCATCAGGTCTGGTCAAAGCTTGTCAGGATGTGTGCTGCAAAGAAGAGTAGCTCAAAGCTGTCAGATGTGGGATGTTTTTTATTTTTCTTTCAGACTGAGAGTGATCAAGGACAAAGACAACCAAGAATCAAGATCTTACCCATTTTTTAAAAATGAATATTTAGGCTCTTTTTAGTTCAGCAAGTAATCCCTGCATTTATTTTATGGGTTCCTGCCCTATATGGTAGAAGATTAGTGTTTGATTGTTTTGAAATCTGTTTGATTTCACAGCTGAAAGAAATGCGTAGTTTGTTTGGTGTTTTTTTCCCCATACTTTTGTGCAGGCCACAAATGATCATGTTTGAAATACTGATGTTTTTATCGTATTTAAAAGGAAACTCTGTTGAAATATAATCAGCTTGGCAGGATTACTTGAATTGGCAGTTTCCAGCAGAAAGAAATTTGCTGTTCCTACTGACTTCCTAGAAAAACAACTGCTGAAAAGCATAGCCAAGCTTGTTGAACAATTTGTGGGCAAAGTATGCAAATTTGGCACCTCTTTTCAATATGTAAATATGCACCAGAGATGTCACTAGCAATTTTTGCACCCTAGGCAGAAATGCTAGAGAGCAGGGAGGGAGGTGCTGAGCACTAGAGAGTCACACCTTACCCCAGGTGCTTCCCATATATAGACTGCTGCTACAATGGCAGTCTCTGCACATGCAGCATAGGCTCCCCAGCTGCTGTTGTTTTAGGGCCTCCTTTGAAATAGTAATCAAATGCTCTGCTCACCCACCCCCAATTCCACTACTTATATACATGTTTCTTTGTGGTGCAAGAAGCAGGAAATCATATTGCTCATCTTTGCCTTGGATTCAGCATAGACTAGACTGGTTAGCCAAAAAAGTTGGTTTTATTAGCAAGTCTGTTAAAGTTTTTTTGAAGGCAAGTCCAAACATTGACAGTATCTGCATTTCTACTGCAGCTCTAATGACAGTTTTGAAAACCTGGGGTGGGATTGTGAGCCTAGTAATATCAATAGCAAAACACCCATTGGACAAATTTGGCCCAGGCAGAGTGCTTGCAAATTAATATAAAATTATATGTATTTTTTCTTAACAAGCCTCACTCACAGGTGAGTAATAAACATTACAGAACTTTCTCCAGGAAAGTGAGTGACTGTGGCACCCCCTAGCAGCCACCCACATTGCCCACCAATAAGGCCAGCCCTGCTAGGCTGTTTGACCCTGGCCCTCCCAGCCTTAGCCTAATAATACGGCACACCAGCCAAAGCCCTCTAGGTCTCCGACCCCAGGTTAGGCTGCCTACTACTGAGTGCCTACCAAGCACCTCTCTGCTGCCTCCACATATCCTCCATAGCTACAGCCTAGTCCTCCAGTTCTTAATCAGAATATAAACACAAGCCCACTGGCTGTCTAACAAAAGGCAATTC